CAGAGTCATCTTTGTGTAACGGCACCGGTGGGAAATGTGACAAAAAAATGCAGCAAGTAGGACTTAAAGTCAGACTTAAAGACTTATTTGAAGTCCTAAAATTAAAATATATATATATATACTTTTTGTTTGTTTGTTTTCTACCAGTGGTGGCTGCTTAACACTCAGTTAGGTCTCAATCTGACAGTCAGACGGACGGAAACATCCACTGTCCTGTTAAATATTCATGCTGTTTAAGTTCAGTTTATTTAAGCCGCTCCGTCTTACACTAAAACCATCATAGAACACAAATGAAAAATCTAATTCCACTGATTTAAAGTTTATCAAAGCTGCTTGGTGTAAAAGTGACTCAAAGCAAACAAAAATGCAACACTTACTATGTTTCTCTAGAATTTGTTTTAGTCACCATTTACTTTGCAAGCATACGGTGGAAAGACAAGGCAAGAAATCAGTTTAGTCTGATATCCCTAAATTAAATCCAGTGTAACCAGTTGATCTAAACCAGGGCTTGCGTGTGGGAGAGATATCAGCTGTTATTTCCATACCTCCAAGTAGCAGGCATGCTTTAGGACTGTTGGAGGAAGCAGGAACACAGAGGAAGACACCACAAACTCACATGGAGAACATGCAAACTGAACCTTCTTGTCCTAACAACTGCAGCACTATGCAGAAACGTGTACAACTCACTAATGTATTGACTAAACCTGGTGAAACCTCCTTATTCAAATGCACGATAAACCATTTAAAGCAAAACAAACTAAAATCTTACAGATTAATATAAACTCTTAATAGATTTGGAAAACAAAAGTACAGAAAGAAAAGAAAAAACAAAAAAAACAACCTAAGCACAACCAGGTGAAATTCATGAATTCATTCACTATGACCCACTTGTTAGTGACTCGGCTGTTCTATGACAGGATCACAGTGAAACGCTGCTTGCCCCTCGTCCTGACCCGCACAGGACGAGGGGTAAATATTTGCAGAGTGATTTGCTCATCTCAGATGGTCCACCGTCCTCGCTGCTGTGAGTGGACGGAGTCATGGCTCAGTTTCTGGCAGCTTGTTCTGGGTTCAAAGATCAGCCCGCAATCCGCTGCCGTTTGCTTGTACGAGAGCAACAGCACCTGGAGCGGCCGTCTCTGATCTCAGAGCCCCAGCGCGTGTGAAGGTTTTGACCAGTATTCCCAGTTAGAATAAGTGACTCTGCACCACGTGGCACCAGTGATGAGGTAGAGGAAGAGTTTTATTCAGAAGGGGTGCGGGGGGTGGGGGGTAGTAATGTTCTCAGCAGTCCATACAGTAGCTGTTGAAATATTTCAGTCTGAGCTGCTGTGATGGATGGAGTGGCCCTGCCAAGAGCCGTCTGATCGGAGTGGAAAAGAAGCTCAGCAAGATGGCAGGATGTTAATCAGCTCATCCTCAACTCACTGTGGGAGAAAATGTCACTTCGTCTTCCTGTTTTGACCTGTCTCACTTCAAGACAAGTTCAAGCGGGTTTGGTGTAAAGAAAATATGTTTAATGTCCTCGACGTTGTGTGTTTTAATCAAGACAAACTAGGAATCGTGTGATTATCTCCTAGATTGTCTCATGTACAGGAAATACTTCAAGAGGATCAGTACTCCTTCTGGACATCTATTGAAAGGTCACTTCAGCCTTTCAAGTTGCAGGGTCCTGAACACGACTGCATTCTTACTTGTTCTGCCACTAATCAAAGGCTCACCGACTTCTCACGTGTCTGACCTTTACTCTGATCCTCCGCACCTGTCTGCAAATTACAGACGACTCAAAAGCTGTCACCGCCTCACTGTGAGATTTTTCCAAACTGGTCCTCCTTGGACTTTCCCAGTGAGACCACAGCTGGAAGACTCCACCTAAGAAGGTGCAGCATCTTGGAAAATTATTTATATGCCTTCATCTTTTCCATATTCTGTCACGTTACAACCACAAAAAGATCACATTAGCTTTGGGTGGCACCAGGACCAAGAGAGAAACTCCAGAATCCCCCGCCTCATTGGCAATCTCCAGCTCCTTTGAGACGATCTCAAAGCATCCCATGTCCGGAGGCATTCCCTCAATGCGAAGTGAGGAGCCCAAAAGGCATCAGGATCAGTTTCCTGAACAACCCCAGCTGAATTATTTTGGTGTCGAGGATCAGTGGTTCTACCTCCTTGTATCCTGGATCTCATTTTCTCAGTCATAATCCAGATCCCAGGTCCATAGAATGAGGGTTAGAACACAAACCGGTAATTTGAGAACTTCAAAACAAGGACCCAGGTTTAATAAATTTAATCACATGATTAATCAAAACGAGCTCCATAATTTCCATTCTAATGACTTAATATTTTTTGAAGGTCAGTTCTGTTTACAGTGTTATTTATGGTTTCTGTTTTATATATTGTTTTTGATTGTTGTGTTTTACTTTGGATATTTAAATGTCTTCCAGTTCCAATTTTCTTTACAAAATTAAAGTTTACTGGTCTTTGAAAGAGCAAAGTTAAACAATAATGTCACCATCAATATTTAAAATTGGTTTCAAATCAACAATATTACCATCTATCTTAATGATTTCTGGGACAATTTATCATCCAGTAAATTTTGTTATTATGACATACAGCTTGACCAAGATATCAAAACTCCCCAGCTTGAGGCAAAGACTGACCTCCAACCCCGAGGGAGTCTTCCACCCTAGTCCAGTTAAGAACCATGGCGCTACGCTGAGTTCCAGTTGTACTCCAAACTGGCGAATTCCAAATTCCCAGTCGGAAAAATCCACTCGAACGCCCTCCGAAGTCAGATTTCCTACTGGGAATCTGGGAGCAATTCCGAATGCCTCCAGTTACAACTGGTAAGGCGGATTTCGCATTTCAATATGGCCGCTCCTCCTATTAACAGTTACGTGTTTATTTTACAAGACACGTGTAAAAACGAGTCTAAAATTAATGTTATATGAAGCACCAGCTACTGTAAACTGAGGCAATTAAAAGCGGTGTTTGCTAAGTTATAGAAAGTAAAGCTTCAAATGTTTGTAAGAGCTACTGCAGACGATTATAGCCATGTTGAAATTCCGTCTTCTTAACAAGAAGGTTGTTCCAATTTCCCAGGTAACTGGAACGCAGCATTACGGTAAAATGTTAGCTAGTATGGCTAACATACTGGAAAACGGTGGAAAACGTGCATTACTCATCAACCTTAACACAACTTACCCACTGAGAAAGATAGTGGTGGCTCCATCACGCTGTGGAGACATTTAACCAGAGGCTAAGCTTGGATGGAGCTAAAACGGTTTTACAAAGAAGAACGAACAAAATGTTCTCATCTGCAGAAGCTTTAAGCTGGTAGAGACATATTTGATAAGACTTGTAGCTGCAATTGCATTAAAAGATGATGTTCAAAGTGTTGGATTCAGATAAAATCCAATAGAAATTTTTTTTTTTTTTTTCAATGTTAAAAGGTCTCGGGAATACTGAAATACTATGCATTAGTATCTTACATAAACTATTATTACACAAACCTAATTTCCATTCTTTTATGCATAATGAAGATAGTCAAAATATCAAATTTGGATCCTAATTAAGTGAACTGCAGTGCAAAAATGTACCACCAGAGACAATGACAAATGTTTTAATCTTTTATTGAAAAGTAAAGACATAGTTCAGCCATCAAGGCTGGCCCGTTCTCCTCCCCAGTCCATTACCTCATGATGGCAGTGATTTCTGTCAGACCGACCTGACACCGGGCCTCAGCTCTGCCTAAATAAAATCAGGGAGAGCCATGGTCTCTGGCCTTTATCCTTTACAAGAGAAACCTCCAGCCTGCACCAACCCAGCTTTAGACTATAAATATATATATATTTAAAAAATTAAGTGTAAAAGCCTTTTGCAGGTCCTCCAAGAATAAAGAAAGCATCTACAGAGAAGATTTCCCTCAGAGAGGGTCCAGTCGCCTCTTGTTTGTTCACTGACATCTCAGGAGATTTTTTTTATTATTATTATTAAAAACAGCTTACTGGGTGACCAAAACCAAACTGAACAGAAACAGGTTGGGCAAAAACTTGTGACTAGAAAGTTTGGATGTTAAGAGCACTAGAAAAACACAACATCTCATAGTACGGACAGGAAAAGAGGGGAAAATGCCTTGTCGGTATACACAAATATATAAATATATACACATTGGGCATTAATTTAAAAAAAAAATCTGATTTACATTGACTTTCTGTGTCAACTGGCTGCTAATACGAAGACATATGTTCAAAGGAAATATTTTTAATCCAGCAGTAAATTCTGCAGCAGCGATTGGAGGATTAAACGGAGAGGCAGAGCGCCCCCTGGTGACCACACCGAGACATTTTCTGGAACATGGCGTCAATTTTAAACTGAATCAGTTGTTGGTTACAAAAAGGTAAAAATTGTCATTTCTGATGAGATGTGTTTTTTGTGCATTTATTGGACAGGTTTTCATTCACAATGCCAAATAAAATGTGCCCAAAAGCAATAAAACCAAAAAATGTAAGGAAAAAAAAAAGACACTGGTTTTAAATACTGTATAGAAATGATTAAGCAGACAATTTTGTGTACGCCCAGTGCCGTAACTTTTACAAAGGAGTACAAACAGGAGGATCATCTGAGGTGTTTTAAAGTGGCAGGGCACTACAGACAAGAGGCTCTATGAGCCACTCTAGTTCCTGAAGATAATCTGCAATCTGAAGCTCAACCCAGCTGAAACTCCTGACCAGGAGTATATCTGCAGAAATGAAAGTAAAACATCTTGGCAGCTATAAAATTACCCATCCAGGACAAAAAAAAAAAAAAAAAAAAAAAGGTCAGCAAAGAGATGGCCTGGCGACAAAGCGTCAGGATAGTGTGATGATGTCGACGGCGAACTGAAATATAAATCCTCAGAGCCATGAGGAAAACCAATTATCGTAAAAGGTTCATTTTTCTTGGTTGGGACAAAAAAAAAAAAAAAAAAGTAAAACAAAAAACATCACCGATATCAAAAATGTTACAAATATAAATCAGTTTTCTTTGTTTTCCAAAATGTGAACATAAATTTGTTAACCAAAAACCAGTCCTTCTGAGATCTGAGTCCTGCTGGTTTTGTGTGGGGAGAGGAGGAGGAGGTGGAGGAGGAAGAGAAGAGCCTGTGGTCCAGAGATGATGATGATGGGGAGAAGACACCCTGGTTTCTTCACGAGCGTTTCAGTCTCTTGGAATGTCGCTGCTGATGGCTGGGCTGCTCCTCGTCGCTGCTGGCGTCGCCCCGCCCCCCCCGCAGACGAGTTCTCCTCGTGCCCTGCTCCCCGTCGCTGTCCAGCTCCCTGTAATCCTTCCTGCCGGAGGCGCCGGAGGTCCTCTTGCTCTTCCTCCTCCTGCTGCTCTCCTCCTCCTCATCCTCGCTGTCCGCCTCGCTCTCGCTCTCCGCTTTCCGGCCCCGAACGTTCCTGCCCGTCTTCCGGTTCGATTTGCCGTTCTGCATCTTCTTCTTGGGCTCCTCTTCCTGCTCTTCGCAGTCCCCTTCATCGTCCTCCTCCTCCTCTTCATCTTCCTCCTCCTCCTCCTCCTCAGATGAAGGAGGAGCTTGGTTGACGCGCTTGCGGGAGCGCCGGCGGAGGTAGCTGGTTCCGGGGAGCAGCTTCTGGATGAGCTCGGTGAGCGTCTGCTCCGTCTTGCCCATGCAGGAGAGCACCGTGCTGCCCTGCTGGTTGTACTCCTCCGCGTTGGAGAACACCAGCTTCATGTCCTCCAGGAAGTCCTGGGCGTGTCGGTACGAGCCCTGGCCGAACTTCCCCAGCATCGTCTGGAAGTCCATGGGCTCCGAGATGATGTCAAGGTAGTCCTCGGCCTCATCCAGGGAAACGGGCTCCCTGGAAGGCAGCAGAGCACGCATAAATGTTTCCACTTAGGAAACTTTTTTTTTTTCCCCCCCTAAAGTTACCATAAAAATAAAAAAATAAACTGTATTTCAATATTTGCTCAGGTTATCTTTGCCTGATATTAATAATTCATCGATGAGCAAAAGCCCTCATGTGTGATGGCATCAATAGGAAGTTTGGAGATTAAAATGATAACGTTTGCCATTCAAAAGTGTCGAATCCGCAGCTCCTCCAAAATCACCGACTACTCTGTCCAAAAAATAAATAAATTAACGGTGCATATGAAGCCAATCTGAAGTATAAGGAACATGTCGCTCCGATGCCTAAACAAGGCACTGGATGATGATCAGCGCCAACATCGTGGCTGAGATATGGTTATATCTCTTAAGAGTTCCTGGTCCCGGCTCACCTGAAGGGCCAGCTGTAGCGGAACTTCATCAGCTTCTTCAGGATCTCCTCACACCTCTCCAGCTCCAGCGCCTGCTTGCTGACCCCCGTCTGGGTACTCTGCCTCACCTGGGGAAACGCCACCACAATGATTAGCCAACATCGCTCATTGATCCCACTCCCCCCACCCCCTTTTCCTCTCCCATAAGCCGAGAAGTGATTTCTCACCAGTTCGTCGATGTCTGCGGGGCTGCTGGGCCCGGCTCTCTGCTTGCTGCTCTGCCTGCTGGACGCCTTCTTGGCTTTACTTTTGGAGATCTTCTGTCGTGCTGAAGACTGCTTGTTTTTCTTCCTCGGCCTCACTGTAAACGGGAGCGACACGAGGGCAGGGAAAGAACAGGTCAGGGTGTTTGCGCTTCGCTCGTGCTTATGAAAGCTGGACATTGTGGACACTGATCCAGGCTGAGGCTGAAAGGCTGAAGGGACAAATAGAGACATCTCCTCTGGAACTGTTCTTCGCGGTTATCCACGCCACACAGGCTGGAGCCGACGGAGGGATCATCGCGCCACATTCTCCGAGTGAAGTCGGAGTGAGACACGGGAAGCTTCAAAGCAGAGTTCAGACAATAGAAACGCAGCGAGGACGAGGCCTGGATTCCCCCCCGTCGGCATTCTTCTCATTAACAAACGTTAGCGACTCTCTCCAACACCAGCTTCTGTAGAGCACTTCACTTTTCCCCGTTGGTCTTAGTTTTTATATCAATAATTCACGTCCACATCCTAGATTTCTTTCGGCTCATTTTCAGATTTCCTGCTCTTTTTGACTGTTTTCAAAGATTAAGATTTAAGGAAAGAGGGACGACTGGAGGAATGGGAAAATAAAAGATGAAATAATGTAGGGAAGCTCTGCACAACAAATTAGTAGGGCGGAAACTATTAATCGTATTAACCGTGATGAATCGATTATTGATATCAACTAATTTAGTAATTATTAACTCGAGCACAGAGGGAAAAAAATGAGGCAATTTGCTGGGGGGAAAAAAGAGAAGCCACATTCAGAGCAGTAATTAATCCTAAATGGTACGAGAAATATATACATTTTGCATTTAAGATGAAAAAAGTCTGTAAATTTGCACCGCCCAGGCCTTCTCAGGTGGCACAGCAAAGTAACGCCAAGTTGTTGCATTTTAAGGAATAAAATCTTTCCTCATTTTAAAAAAATTTAATTGTTTATTTGCATCTGCAGAGTGTGCAGATATTTATCCGATTAGTCGTTAGAGTAATCGATAGAATAATCAATTACTGAAAAATAATTGTTAGTTGCAGTCCTACGAATGAGTCAAGTCTAGAAATACGAGAATTTTCGTCTTTTTCCAAACCTTCCCGCACCAGGAATGTCTTATAGTTTTCCACACTTTCGGAACCCTGAGAAAATTCACTGTATGCTGCAATTTTGAGTTTTGATCCGTTTCCACGGTGACACAGCGAAGCCTTCCTTCATCAGACGTAGACGGTTTAAATAAGAGTTTGGGATAAACGTCTCTCAGATACTCACAGCTGTGCCCCATGGCTTTGTAGTCATTCTCTTCCTCATCCTCGTCGTCGTCTTCCGAGCACTCTTCATCAGACTCCTCCTCGCTCTCCTCTTCGTCGGTGTCTTGTTTATAATTCCTGCGACCAGAGAGTTAAAAATTCATCCTTTGTGCAGAAAGACAAACAGCCGAAACACGCAGGTCTCTGCAGCTTCAGGTAACTCGGCTGGTTCCGCCCCCCCCCACCTTGAGCGGGAGCCCCTCCTGGCCACGGTGGGCTGGCAGGCCGGACACAGCCACTCCCCAGCGGGGATGCGGTACAGAGCCGGTCGCAGGCAGAACAGATGGAAGGCCTTGTTGCACTCGTCACACAGGATGAGCTTCTCATCATCACCTGGATCCGAAGGTAAAAAAAAAGAAATAAATTAAAAAAAGGGAAGTAGATAGTTTCTTCCCCCCCACCCCCCTGTTATTTAAAGAGCATTCCTTCACTTCTTTCTTTTTCTGCTCGGTCTAAATCAAACTGCTGTGAGTATTGCCAGTGCTGTGCGGGTAGCAGATCATTACAGGGTCACCTGAGGGCGTGCGGAGCTGCCGGCTCTCGACGTAGACCTGCCTGACACATCTACCCTGCTCTGCTCTGAGCTTTCTGCTGCCTCCCTGTCTGGGTCTGGTCCTACACTCCATCAGCCTTAGAGGCATGTCCTTCCTGAGCTCTGGACAGGGACGAGACCACTGCAGCATTCAGATAAACCATCTGTGAAAACTCGAAAGAGGCAACAGGTAGTTCATCGCGACGCCGCTGTTCTATAGCAACGAGGGAAAAGCCTTTGCTGCTGCTGCTCCAGTTCTGTCAGGGTCAATGTTTCTGAAGGGAGTCTAGCTAGCTCAAAAAAAAAACGGGAAAAAAAAACATCTGCAAAAAAAAAAAAAAAAAAAAATCAGACTGTGTTGAAAAATAATAAGAATCAAAAAGAAGTAGTGAGCCTCCCTTACCTTTCCTGCGACAGACTTTGCAGCGAGCGTTCTCGGCAGACATGTCCCACTTTATGCAGGCGTCCAACATTCCCAGCAGAACGTGCATCCGGGAGAAGGTCAGCGCCTCCCTGATGGCCGACTTCCACTTCTCTACCGCTGTGGCTACCTGACAGGAGGAGATGAACACAGTTTTTTTTTTTTTTTAAATGATCAACCTGGTGGCTTACGGCGACTCTAATGCAGCGACTAACGATTCTTTTTAGTAATTGATTACCGCAACGATTAATCGCATAAACAGAGTGACGTTTTTATACGATAATAGAAACAAATTCAAAAGATGCAAATGAAACAAACAATTCAATTCCTTTATGAAGACGAAAGTAAACATTTTATTGCCTTTTGCTGAAACTGCCACTTAGCGAGTTCTGGGTCGAACATGTTTACAGACAAATGCTTTAATGTTTACTGTAAATATATTTTTGAACAATTTTGGCTTAATTACTGCTGATTGTTTCTTCAGCAAATACTCTGTGTCTGCGTGCTCCTCTGTTAATGATTAATCACTAAATTAGCCGACGATTATTTCAAAAATCGTTCCAGTCTTAAGAGCCTTGCAAAAAAATAAAAAAAAAACACATTTAATATTTCATTACAACAGCAAAGTCCAAAAGTATTTAAAACTTAGAAATGGAAGATGCGCACGCGTCCGTAAGTTTCACAAATGAAAACGCAGCCCCGACGAAAGAAACATCTCCACAACATGCTCTGCTTGCAGTACAATTTTTAGGTGTTTAAGAATAAATAAGGCCAAATACAAGCATAAGCGACACTCCAATTGGAGAAAGGTTAAAATAAAAACAAGAATCCTTTCCCTTCCACTTCACAATTATTTTTGCTACTTTGACTTAACGTCACGCCATGACAAAATGTGGAAAAGTTCAAGGTGCGGATACGTTCGTGAGACAACGGAAAAATGACAACTCCCGTCCTGCTGTGTGGCGGTCTCACCCTGGCCTCCTCTGCTAGTTTCTTCTCCTCGTCCACGTCCTCGGCCTTGCTGCTTTCTTCCCCTGCTTGTTTCTTCTTCTTCTTCTGTTTGGGAGCCATGAAGCCCTGCAGGAACTTCTTGATGACGCAGGCCTGCAGCGTGATGATGCACTCGCCAAAGTCCTTCAAGCTCTCCGTGTCCTTCAGCTGAAACCGTCAGAGGGAGAGCATAAATACAGTTACGCGATGGAGAGACGGTCCACTGTGGGACGTTTCTTTAAGCGAAGAAGTGACTCGCCTGCTCTTCTATGTCTACGTTGTCGTCCAGGTAGCCCAGTCCTCCCTTTTGTAGCCTGGAGGCTATCTCCTGGATGTCGCTGCGCATGTACTTGAGCAGCTCGGCGTAGCCGTCGCAGCTCCTGAGTCCCAGTTTGGATTTACGACTCAAATAGATGGAGTGTAGGATGTCCTGGTACCTGAACATTTACAGTTTTGTATTTACTTAAATTATCTACAGCAGCCTTATTGTCACATTGTTCATAAAAGCCAGTTTGTTTGCTCTGCTTCCTGTAGAAGCAGGCTTGGTTTTAAGGTTTAAAATAAGTTAGACATTTTTGTCTTATTGCTGCAGCAGGTCACACACTAAGCTGGTAAAGTCATAAGGCTGCACAGCTCTGTGTGTGTGTGTGCGTGTTAAAGTAATTATGTCCAATTATAGGAGCCCGTTCACCTGCTTTGGATCTTTAGCTTCAGCTCGCTCTCTCGAACTCCCTGAGGATGAAGACTTTCCACCAGCTCCTCCAGCTCAGCCGGGCTGTCGATGACGAACCTGGAAGAAAAAAGCCAGAAAGTCGGATCACGAAGAAGTTAAATTTAAATTAAGATGAAATGAGAACTAAAAATCGGAGCAGCGTTGGGGGGAGAGACGGACAGCCAATATAGATACCCACCAAAGATTCTGTCCCTGTTTGGGAATCGTTGTTTCAATGCAGACATCCGGTGCTGCCCCCTGCTGGACTCCTTCACTTGCGGCGCCGTCGACGCTTGCATCGTCTTTTTCAGCTTCTGCGATTCAAAACACACACACCTGGTGTACAGGAAACACACGAGCGCACGTGTGAACAAGCCGGCCTAGTCCCGGATCTGATCGTACCTCTCCCTTGTGAATCGGGTTGCGAGTCGGGAACTGAAGCCGCCTCACTGCCTTCCTCCTCCTCTTCCTCCATCTCTGGCTCGGCCGCTTTCTCCTCGGGTGGAGGAGTGAAGCTGTAGTCGATGCCGTCGTGTACCCAGCCCTTCTCGACATACAGCCCGGGAACCACGTCGGAGAAAAGCCAGTATCTTCACACACACACAAAAAAATTAAAATTAAAAAACAAAAACAAAACGACACAGTTGGGACTCATTCATCCGCCGCGGCATGAGGCCAGACGAGGTCAGCACGCAAGACGGAGCGGCAACCTGTTGTGGTTTCTGTCGGTGCCGAGCGGCGCCCGGCGCATCACCAGTCTGGCTTTGGTTATGCCGTCCTGGAAGGCGCGCTCCGCCGCAGCCTTCTGCTTCCGCAGCCGCTCCTCCTCGGCCTCCTTCTCCATCCGCTCTGCCGAGCCAACATAGAAACCGTCAGTCAGTCGTTCAGAGTGAAGACGGAGAGGCTTGAAAGGCCTCTGCACCGAACGACGCATTTCATCACAACATTTAGCACAGGGATGCACCGATCCACTTCTTCTCACTTTCGATACCGATACAGAGATCTGAGTTTTGGAAACAGCCACTCCACACCAGTACACCACAGACGCTTGGTCAAACATGGCCAGAAGCCAAATGAGTGACCAGCTGCCAGGTTTACCTTTGTTCTGCCGGTCCAGCTCCTCCTTCTCCTTCTTGGCCTGCATGGCCATCAGCCGCCGGCTCTTCACCAGGCTGATCAGGTCCTCGGGTTCCGGCTCCGGCTCCACCTTCACTTCCTTCTTGCTCTCCTTTTTAGCTGGCCCATCCTTCTTCTTCTCGCCTTTGAACCAAGAAAAAGTAAAAAAAAAAAACCCTGTAAATATCTTAACGCGCCAGATGACCCCCCGCGACACGACCTGGACACCGACCCCACCTTTGCTCTCCATCTCCTTCTTCATCTTCTTCTCTGCCTTCTTGCGGTCGTTGACCTCCTTCAGCATGGCCAGGCGCTCCTTCCACAGCTCGGCCGAGCGTTGCTGCATGGCGTCCACGTGGTCCTCCACCGAGTAGGTCATGAGGATGCGGTGGCACAGCGCCACCAGCAGGTCCACCTTCTCCTCCGGGCTCAGCTCGAACACCTCCACCGTCTCCAGCTTCTCCAGGAACTCGCTGCTCACCACGTCGTCGTAGCCGCCGACGGCGCCCGAGTCCTCCGAGCCCTGGGCGCTCTCGTCGTGCGCGTCGCACGGCCGCAGGCACAGGCGCGTCAGCTCCGACGCCGAGTGCATGGTGAGCGGGATCTCCGACAGGGACATGTCCAGCTCGCTGTAGCCCTCGGCCAGCTCGTCCTGCAGCAACGTCTGCAGCAGCACCACCAGCACGCGGTTCAGGTAGTGGAAGCCGGAGCGCTCCCCGGCCAGCGCCTCCATCAGCGCCACCGCCGTGATCGGATACTGGTCCTCGGGCATCAGCAGCCCGGCGTAGCAGTGGAGGAAGTCCACCACCATGGCAACGCTGCCGAACAGCGTGTTGGGCAGGCCTTCGGGCATGTCCACCAGCTTGAACGTCGGCAGCGCTTTGCCGCCTTCGATCTCCTGGTCCTCGTATCTGCGCGACTGCTCCTGGCGGACCAACATCTCCTGCTTGCGCTTCTCCTTGGCCTTCTCCCTCAGCTTCTCTTTGAGTTCGGCGCGCCTCCTCTTCATCTCCTCGTTCTTCTCTTCTTCACTCATGGCCGCCCATCTCTTCTTCTGCTCCAGCAGCTCCCAGCGCTTCTGCACCAGCTCCTTCAGCTCGTCCGGCAGACGCCCGCGGTCGTCGGCGGACAACGTCTTGGCAGCTTTGGTTATGAGGGAAGAGAGGGACGTCTTCTTGTCCTCTTTTCCCTTGTGCTCCTTGTAGTAGCGGACGAGGTGCAACGCCATGGGGTGCAGCGGTTTCCCAAGCTTGGGCGTGCCTAGGCTGGAGCTGCGAGCTCGCTTCTTCGGGCTCCCTGCGGCGGTTCCCTTAGCCAGCTGCAGCAGAGTCATCTGCTTCATTTTTGGTGTCTTATCGCCAGTTTTTCCGTCTTTTTTGGAGGATTTTAGAACGTCGAGTTTCTTATCGCCACCCTTTCCGCTTTTCTTTCCATCTTTTTTGTCCCCGGTCTTCTTGCCAGACTTTGGAGTGGAGGGAGCAGAGCCTTTTCCGTCTCCCTTCTTAGGAGTTCCAGAGTTCTTCACCTTGAGAGGGGAACCGTTCATTTTCACCTTCTGAAATAAATAATAGTAAGAAAAAAAATGTACTTATTGTTTAAAAACAGAGCTTAGGCGTGTGCAACATGGCTTAAACTCAAAGTGCAAACAAATAGAAGCTATAAAAATAAAAAAAAATCACAGAAACCCAGTTCAAATACCAGAAATATAATTAATTAATAAAACTGATTTATCGCAGAGTCCTAACAGAGATGAAAAAAGTAATTAAGAAACAGTTTTATACAATCGAGGCTTTTCACACACACTGGAAGCATCAGAGCACATCTATTAATTTTCATCATGTGCAGTTATTCATTTATGCCTGCAGGTGGCCAACGGTGCTACAATACAACAGTAGAAGAAGAACTACCACAGCAGCACAGAAGAGGAACAGCTGCAGGAGTCAAGATTTGCTGTTTCCATTTATGTTTTTTTTTCAGTAGTGCAAACATTACTGCATGTCAAAAAAATAAAAAATAAATCTGCTCCTGTTGCTGGTGTGCATTGAACTATTCCCTTCCCTTGAGGACCTTCATACTTTATAAAGTGGAAACCCGTCAACTAACCTGCATGTGACCCCATATGGTGGGACTAAGAGGCAACCCTTCCTTCTTCTTTTTCTTCTTCTTCTCTCCCTTCTCATTCCCTGAATCCTCTCCAGGAGTGTCACCGGTTTTCACCTTCTTGCTAGGTTTGCCTTCGGGAGAAGTCAAGCTTTTACGCTTCGTGGACGGGTTTCCTGCCAAGAACTGTCGACAAAGAAAAGGAGTGAGCACACAGGGAAAGCAACTATTGCTCAATATTGAAGAACAGTATCTTGAACTTCTTCTTCCTTCTACAATTGTCACACACAAACCACAAGTTTGAATTAATTTGTGGAGGATTCCATGTGGTCGTTCAGCACAAAGTGGCTCGGTCTTGTGAAGTGAAAAGAGATCATCAACAGTTTTAAACTTCACCACGGCTCCATCCCTCATATTTGCTGTGTTCACTGGGTCTTTTGGATGCCTTTTGTTTACTAATGTTCTCAAACAAACCTTCACTGGATCTACACTGAGGTTATACATTTCCTTCCACTTCCTGTCAATACGGTACTTTGTGTAGGCCTTTCACGTAAAATCTCAAGAAAAACACATTTCAGTTTGTGGTTAATCCCAGAAACTGAAATGGTATATGTCCATTACCTTTTGCGGATCAAGGAGGAAGTCGCTGAATTTACTGGGCAGGTTGTATTTTTTCACCAGGTCATCTTCGACCACCCAGGGGGCACTTTCTCCTTTGCCCAGCCTCAGGGCGTAGTGTCTGATGAAGTAGCGCATGATCTCCTTGGTTGGAGGCCGCTCTGTTCTATAGAGACTGTCTGCTGGGACATCGCTGATCACCTATTATTAGAAGAGGAAGATGAGAGAGCAGGGTCGGTTTCAGTAGCGACTAAATCAGAGAAAACCCATTAAAAACAGCACAGCACAAGCACGCAATTATCACTAACGAGGTACTCACCTTATCCTCGTTGATGAGCTTCACGTCATACTTATGAGGAAGGAATTTGGGCATGACCCATCTCTTCTTCTCTTCCTTCATGGCGGTGGTAGCTTTCCTCGGAGAACGCCGCGCTCTGTCACCTATGGGCACGCACCCACAGTATGTTAGCAAGCAGGAAGAGGCTTTAAAACGCTCTTGAGGGTCGACGACGTACTCAGACTCTCCCTTCTGTTCTCCTCCTCTCGAGACGGAGGCTCCTTCCTCTGGTTCTCCTGGCTTGCGTTCTCCTTGTCGCTGGACGGGGAGTCACAGGCACCTTCGAGCTTCTTCTCACCCGACTCCCCCTCTGGGGTCTCCAAGGGATGAATCTTGATCACTTTCACTCGCAAACTTTGGTCTTTTCCTACCTAGAATTAGCAGCAAAGAAAAAAGAAAAAGAGTGAAACTACATCAGAACTGGAGCATTTCATGAAATGATTGTTGGAAGCTTACTGCCGATCTAATGAACTTAAATACAACAAAACTTTATTATATTTCACAGAAGCTTTTTTTAAAGAGGCGGTATTATGTAGAATTGACGTTTTGAGCTTTACATTGTGTTATAATGTTATTCCCTCATCAAGAAAAATAAACCTGCATGATCCTTTCATGCACGTTTTATGAAATACTTGAATATCCTGTGGCACTAGTCTGGCTCCTCAGACTAGTGGCAGCAGCCATTAGCAAACACCTGGTGGAACTGTGAGTCTTCTGAACTTCCTACAGAAACGACTTCTCAGCCCAATGCTCCGAATATAATGTAAATTATGTAAACTGCATAATGAGGAGCATTGTCGTGACGTGCAGAAGGCGGGGTGCCGGAAAGAGCAGGAGCTTCTTAAAGAGACAGAAGCCCAATTTCAAGGCGTTAAATTGCTCATTGTTTTTAAGTCACGTTTGATTTAAAAGATATAACGGTTGCTGTAATTGTGAAGCACTTTGGTCAAGTGCTGTGTTTTTCAATGTGCTTTTCAAATAGATTTGACATTGACATGTAGCATTTTTACAACTGAAGGCAACATTTACTTGGCTGTGCTGTATGTGCCTGGAAAATACATAATACCACCCTTTTAAATGGCTACAAATTATTCATCTGGGATAAAAATGGTGCAATAAAACAAGTAAATAAAAAAAAACAAAACAAACCAGGAAGTCACACTCTTCACCAACAGCATACTTGGTGAGGATTTCCACCCAGGCCATCTCCACCAGTTTGTCTAAGGACACCGTGTTGTGGTGGACCATCTCAAGGACTGGCTTCTCAAACCACAGAGGGTACTCCTCCTGAAGCCTAAAAATAAATAAATAAATTTTAAAAAAAACATGGTTAGTGTCATACTAAAATTACACAATTTATGTTAACAATATTACCATTATTATCAATTAAAATATCTTTATTATCAATATGTGGTTCACAAGTTCTTGAAAGTCTTTGAAGGTTTGTGGGGATGCTGAAAAAAGCAACAGTGGGGAGTAAACAATCTGGGGATATAATTAGAGTTTAAATACAGCTTATGACCCTGAGTGATCTGAGCACCTCTTTATCTGCTCTGTACTATGAAGTCTTCCTGAGGTCATGTCGCTGGAAAGACGTGGCTAAAGGAACCGTCATCAGACCATTACGCATTGAAGGATGACAAATTCAGACATTATATTAACACAATGAGAGGTGGAGCTCATCGTCTACCGAGCCGTGACAAAGCAGTAAAAACCATATGAACTTCGCTGCCAGACTGCAGTTCCAGATGATCCGATTCAGCTTTCACATGAATAACAGAGTCCATCTAAACTGTTTGCAATTATTTATAGAAATCGGATCATTGGTGGGTTTAAAGTTTTCTCCAGATGTGACAAAATAAATCTACAGATGAAAAACTCCCCCACCCCCTTTTTATCATCACAAACCAGCTACAGCAGCCAGCGGAGATTAGATTAAAGCCTCTCGCACTTACAGCTCAGTGACTTCTTGTTCCTCCTCCCAGGCCTCTTTGTGAGTAAGCTGGAGGCTTCCTGTGCTCTTGCATGTCCAGATGCGTTCATCATACCTCTGCAGGCGTGCCTCATACTCTCTACACAGTTTGTCAAGGATGGTGCGATATCTAAATGTGAAGTGATTAAAGCCAGATGCTGATCTATCAATATTAATTATGATGCAGGGGTCAACTCAAAGGGTTGCGAGTCATAGGCTGTGGATAGGAAAAGTTGTAAAGCATTTAAATTTTTTTTGTAAACAATATGAACACATCAATGTCTTCTTATTATACATTAACAAAATAAGTCTTTATTAAGCGAAAGAAGGTACGACGTATGGTGATTCATTCCCAACTTTTTCTGTAATTTACATGAGTCTTCTGTCAAGAGACAGCTTATACTACTATTAAACAGAGACGCCTTACTTGCACTGTACCAATGGATGATCTAAACTAATGTTTTTTGACCTGCTTATGGTCTGTTGTAAGAAAATATGCTTACATAACTGCAATAAACTACATGACCAGCAGGAGGTCGCTCAGAGTTTTCATGGTTTGATCAGCAATCGTATTCACGCCATAAGCTGACTGACCCAAGCAGAAATTAAAATAACTTTATAAGGCAAAATATTCTTGAATTATTTCACCGTCAGATTATTTACTTGCTCATAATTCATCCATCCTTTGCCTACATCTGCTCATCTTTGCAGGATTCCAAAGAAGCTGGTGTCCTTTCCTTTCCTTTAATTTGAGAAGAGGTGGGGTTCGCCCTGAACATGTACTTTATTGAATGTGGCCTTTGAAATTATTTGAATATTTCTGGAGATGCACCAATCAATTACCAAAAGGGCCAAATCGACCATTTGTCCTTAATTGGCTCCAAGCAGTGATCAGCAGGTCAAGAGTCAAAAACAGAAAATTGATTTCCTACTATTCACTGATGTGTTCCCCCTCTCACAACGAGCATGAATGGCATCAAATATCAGCAGGCACTGTGAAGCAATTTATTTGACTTAATTTAAGGAAGATGGAAGAAAATATAACTAACAAGTCTCTTGACAATGGTCTTGTTTATAGTTGGTCCTCTAAAATCTGACAGTGACCAAAGTAAGAAGTCATCTGTTCAGTTTTACAACATGACAGCCGTGTCACTCATTAAAATACTGTACCAAAACAACGAAGCAGGGAGTCAAAGGAGCACCTGGCTACTTTTACTCCCATCTACGTGCTGACAGCTAGCTGCACAACTTGCCTGCCAGCTAATGACTACTGTCGCTTGTTTGAGACCAACAGCTCCTAAACAAGAGGCTACAAAGGCACAATTATAATCCAAATACCGAGTAAAACCTTGAGATAATTTGTTTCAGCACCCTGTTGTCCTTCAACAGATATGCTATAAGGTTGTTGTGTGCTAACAGGACCAGCTAGCCCCTGCCAACAGAGCTACCGCTTTGCTCCGTGGAGGCAAGGCCAGCAGCATTGTGACATAATGGGATGCTTAGCGTTAGCAGTGCGCTAACTAGCCCTCCTAGCATCGCTAGCTGTCAGCTTAGCCGTGAAAGCTGAAAGTGAAAGATACTCGTCCGCATTTTACGTCCAATAAAGCTAACTTTAGTTCCATATTTAATTCTAACCTCTTTCAAAGGCTAACGAATAGCTGCAATGTACCAGTTAGAGATGTGACATGGTTAGCTAGGAAGCTTGTCATCCAGTCTAAACTGTACATGTAATTGAGACATTAAGGGACAGAAATGACAAGTAATGTCAAATTCCTTAACCACCTTAACAGGTGTGTGAATAAAAATGATGGAAGCGTCTAACTGCTAACCAGACAAATAAAAGACAGACCACTAACGTAGCGATTGGCTTGGTAGACCGATTCAAAGCATGATGTTAAAGGATACTCTTTGTTCCTGAAGGCCTCCTTGGTATGCTCGATGATGTAGACCTCTTCTCCCGGGCCTGGTGGCTCAGCTAGCGGCTTAGCCAGCGGGTACGGTTTCCGGCCCAGAAGCGGTGCCATGGCAGATCCAAAGATGGCACGAGTGCCAGAGGTTAAACGTGACTTTCTGGCAACAAACTAGCACAACCTTACTTCCGTGATAGTTCTTAGCATGTATCCAAGCGTCGGTAATATATGTACCGAGGGATAGCACGTCTCGCGTTACAGCCGGCAGGCCCCGGCTCTGAGCGTGCCGAAGCTAGTTAATCAGCTAGCAGTCTGGATCGCTATCTCGTTGCAAAACAATAACAGTGCGCTTCTCACCGATGGCCTCATCGCAACATTCTCCGCTTCTGCAGCTGCGGAGACACGCTGGTTTTAACCAGAATTCCGGGAAGTAAAATATGTTAAAGCTTTGCTCCGACGGGTTAGTTGGTAAACTTTTAGTTCCTCCAGGTGAACACGAAAGGATGAGAGCCACACCGAAATCAAACTCGCGGCAACAGCCAGAGCTCAATTCGGCTGCAGTTTCACAGTCCTAATAAAGTATTTTTAAAGTAGACCTGATCTTTTTTGCTGATGAGCTGTGCTGTCGAGGTTTTGTTGTCAATAAACAATATTCGCAAGTGTCACAAGAAAGTATCCCCAATCAAACAAGAGGTTAATTCCCTGTCGAAATGGCGGGAGTTTCTAGTCCACCGGCAAAAGAACCCTCAGCCCGTTTCCCCGGCAGCAAGCAGCGCTGCACCTACGCCCCGCCTCCTCTCAAAGCTCATTGGCTGATTTGGAGTAGCGCCCTGATTGAATTGCTGAAAATTGTCTGTCATTGGCCAGTAGAGCCTGTCTGTCATGATCTGTCAGCAGGAACATTAAATAAAACGCTTCTATTGAACAGAAAATAATAGGAAGTTGCCTGAAGATTACAAAATCGCTAGTTAACGAAACCCAAAACAAACTTGAAAGAAATTGTGTAATTAATCTACGTTTTTTTCCTCCCAATTAATTTTTGAACTTTATATGTGATCCATTTTTATTTTAACAGGCCTTTCAGAGCCAGTGGCATCTTTTAACTAAATGCAGAGCCTCTTCTTCTGTATCACATAAGATCACAATGCATATCCAATATACACTGCTCAAAAAAAT